CCCATCTTCACTCTCCAACGCAGGGCAGGTGGATAATTATTTTTTTAAAATAGATAAATAATTGAGTATTAATTTTTTTTAACTAGTTACGAGTTGAGAATAGGGATATCTTTGCTATAAAAGAAAATAAGACAATTTTTTTATTTGTTTTACCCAAAAAAAAATAGAGAAGGGGAGTTCTTTACTTTATATTTTATTTTTAATTCAATCATTTACTTAACCAATAAAGAAAAGGAAAAGAGTATGGATATATTTGGTATAAAAGAAAATAAGCAATTTTTTTATTTGTTTTACCCAAAAAATTGGAAGAGGAGAATTCTTTACTTTATATTTTACTTTTAATTAATTCGTTTATTTAACCAAAAGAGAAAAAGAAAAATAATCTTTTATTTCACTCAAATCAAATGTATACTATATACAACTTGCCACTAGTATTTCAAAATTTCATGCTTGAACTATAGGAATTAAGTCCCCTCCCTTCCCCTTTATACTACCCAAACAATTTATTATCTTTTTTCTTATTACAAAATTTATTAACAATTAACAAAGGAAAAATATGTATGCGATTGAATTGCAGATACTGACTCTGCATGATAGATGGGAAGCAATGAAGCATACAATGGAGAGAGCTGTGATTTGATGTTCACGGTTGCCATGTTCCAAATGAAGACCAAGCTACAAGTGCTCACGACCAATAACCCCAAAGAGTATGATTGTGATTACAGGGTAGGGGGCAATTTCTTGCAAGATTCCTACACTGTTTATGTTGGAGAGACTAACACCATTGTTGCCCAAGTAAGATACATTCCATACATTCTGACCTGTGCATTAATTGGGATTTCATAATAATACATATATTGAATGAAATTTCAGATGTACTGAAAGCTGAGTTTCGAAAATCTGCAGGGAAAGGGGAGGTTTGCGGTCACAGTGTATCCCAATGCTGACCATGCATTCATTGCTGCGCTCATCCTGGATGGCATGAACAGGCCAGGTTGGATTTAATTAGCTTAAAAAACATTGCACCAATTAAGCTATGGCCAAACTATCTATGATAAATCAATAAATTGTTCTATAAGGCTAGAGCTATAAGTAAGAGAAAAAGAAATGTAATTCTCTATATTATGTACAAAAAAGTGTGGAAATCCAAACTATGAAACACTATCATTTATTGGATGGATGCTAGGACCTTCTTGGATGTAAGGATAGTCTCGCCATTCAATAATTTATTTTTTACAGTCTAATATAATTTAATCTGTAAAAACTAAAGAAGGATTGATTAAGTGCATTAGATAAGTAGCTAAATCTTAAAATAAAATATAGGATGTTATCTCAATTTCAAGTTTATAACTTCCTTATATATTCATATAACACAAATTTCACACTTAAAATAAAATTAACCGTATGCTTACGTGTGGAGTGAATGTAATCATACTTGCACAAATGCATTGGATTTGATTAGGATTTAGAACCATAATCAAATTCCTTTCTTGAATTTGGATTTGGGCTACATTCCAATTCGAGGTTAATTAACTCAGCGGGGCTTATCCAAGCCCTAGCAAGTCTGACATTATTCACACACAAACACTCAAGGAATTCAAGGCAAAAGAGAAAAATTAGGAAATAAAAATCACTACTAAAATTCAAGCCTTCAACAACAATATATCAGTAACATGGGATCCATTGTTGCTGAAAATTTGTATCAGCAACTTGCTGAAAGTTGTATAGTACATTCTTCCTTTAAAAAGTTGTTCTACTTTCAGCAACAAGGAGTATGTTGCTGAAAGTGAATTTCAGCAACATACCTCATATTGTTGATATTTTCTGGCAATCATTTCCTCATCTAATTAAGCTCCACTTTCAGCAAAATATTCCTTGTTGTTGAAAGTGACTTTTAGCAACAAGGGCTATCTCTCTGAAACTTTTCCAACCACACCTAAAGTATTAGTAACATATACTATGTTGCTGTTATTTTTATTTTTTCACCAACCAAACGTCAGCAACATATCCCTTGTTGCTGATATTACCACTTTGACTAATGTTGGTCAAGGCCATTATAGATATATACCTTTAAATAAAGAGTCAAATCTAACTACAAAGATTCGACTCTCTAGTATTTAAAAGTCGACTATATATAGTGAACATTCGACTCCCAAATTTCAGAGAGTTGAGAACATTTTGAGTGCTGTGTATAGTTGACTCTCTTTAATGAGAGTCGGCTCTTTTTGGAAAAAAGTCTATTCTTATTTGAAAAAAAGTTAACTCTTAATTTAAAAACTATTGACAAAAACTTGTGATAACTTTATATAAAATATTTATATAGTCTCATATGCATATTCACATTTTTTTTTAGATAAAATCAAGTTTTAAATTAGTTAAATATATTAATAAATAATATAATTATATTAATTAAATGTGTTAAGTATTAAATAAAATTAAATAAATTAAACAAAATCAATTATTACATTAAATGTTAAGTATAAAAATAAATTATTTAAAGATTAACAATTTATTAAAATAGGTTAAATAAATTTTTTACCTTTGCTTTGCCTAATCAAAG